TTGTACGTTGATAAAAGTAGCGACTGAAAACAATCGTCATTTGAATATCATGCCCCTAAAATCTCTGGTTTAGAAGCCTTGATCCTAGAGTTGACACGGAGAAAAGTAACCTGGCCAGAAAAAGGAAGCAATTGCATGAAAGAGAAATTGATCTGATATATTAAACTATAAAATAAAACACATATTAGGCTAGTGGAATTCATTATAAACGTCAAGCTAAAATGAATTAATTTAAAGCGAAACTGAAACAGCACTGGGATCATGAGCCTCTCTCATTCGACAAGAATCCAAATGTTTCCATTTTGCCATGTAACATTTGGTTGCTAAACTAACTATTGTTCATTATGTAAACATGGTTTTGTACTTCACTCGTGTTCCAATATGGGCGTAAAACATCATGCGCAAGTGTTTGTTTGGGTGCTGCACACTGATTTTACAGTGAACCTATTTAAATTGAGCAGTGTAACTTTCAAATTTGGTTTACTGCATTTTAGTTTGATGATGAATGGCTGAAATGTCAAGTTAGCAATGCTAGAACTGATATGTTGTGTGTGTGCGCTGAGGATCCTGCATGATCAGTTTGATTTAATAAAATAAAGTTGTAAAGAAAACTAAATTAAGTGTACACAAAGTGTCACAAAAATGAGCATTACTAATACTTTTTTTTCTTTTGTTAATATGTTAATTATTTAAGAGAAATATATTTTGTGTAGTCCTATTTATTTTTATTCCTTCTATATACTGAATTTCTGTTTTTCTCCATTCACAGAAGCGCTGCAGGTGTGTGATACGACGATGTGTGAATCCTCATGGTCTGTTGTTTATGCTGCTATTTACGCATATAAAGCTAAAGCTAAAAAATGGTTAATGATCGACTAATGAGATTCGGTTGTTGGTCAGGAAAATAATCTAAATAAACAAAATGCTGTCATTATATGATTCTCTGCCAGATTTATATGCCGCACACAAGTTCAGGCTAACTCAAAAACTTGCGCACACGAGCTGAGACCTGACGTGAGATTTGATCGTAGCCACTGCTCATGTCCATATTGATAA